GTGTGTGTGGCAGAGTGCGTGTGTGTGTGTGTGGTAGCGTTCGTGCGTGTGCGTGTGTGTGTGTGTGTGTGTGTGTGTGTGTGTGTGTGTGTGTGTGGGAACGCGCGTGTGTTTGTGGGAGCGTGCGTGCGTGCGTGTGTGTGGGAGCGTACGTGCGTGTGTGTGTGTGGGAGCGTGCGTGCGTGTGTGTGTGTGGGAGCGTGCGTGTGCGTGTGCGTGTGTGTGTGTGGGAGCGTGCGTGTGCGTGTGTGTGTGTGGGAGCGTGCGTGCGTGCTTGTGTGTGTGTGACGCGCCAGTTTTCGAAAAAGAAAAGAAAAGAAAAGAAAAAAAACTACTGGAATCAAACCTAGCCTGCGGTAAAAATCGTCCTAACCAATAAACCAACCTAACCTTACCCTGTGGGATTTATACACTACGATCTACTTATTCCCCCGTGGTATTAAGTGCGCCTAGCCAGAGGGCTACGCCCCCTGGACCCCCTAGTCATATATAAACCCAACCCAACCTAGCCTAGCCTAAACTAGCCTAGACTAGCCTAATTATATGCGCCTAGCCAGGGGGCTACGGGAACCGACAGCTAACTGTCGGGGGCTACGCCCCCTGGACCCCCGTAGTGCTATGTGCGCCTAGCCAGGGACCCCCGTGGCTTTAAGAAAATACGATCTATATATTCCCTAGCCAAGGGGCTCTGCCCTCTGAACCCCAAGGGTAAAATCACATACCTTTATATAGCGAAAGAGAACTTTTCTTGGCTTCCGTCTATGGTCCGAATTCCCTGGTTTCTAATCACTTTTTTCGACATTTGGGGCACTTGTTGGGCTCATTTATCAGGCTGAGATAGACACTAATATCTATTGGTTCTATATATCCACTATATGGCTTTAAAAATGACCCGGAATCGACGCAACACACCTAAAATGTGACACTTCCCACCGGTGTTTCGGAATGAATGGCGTCTGACGGACTGTCAAATCTCCCGGTGGAAAAACGCGCATGCGCACAGGGTTATTGTGCAAAATAGTGTAAATAATTACCAAAACACGTAAAAGAAGTATAATAAAAGTAAAAGAATTTATTAAATGCATAAATTCGGAAAAAATAGACACTGGTAATTACAAAATCGGTTTCACAAGCGCGTAGTAATACATGGACTACTTGATAGATCGCAATAATGACTTCCGCGTCACATTTGTGTTGGTCCTGGCAAGTTAACATGGATGGGGACTTAGTCTCAGAGCGGGGCCATGCAGAGCCTATTTTTTGTCATTTCCCGGTAAATATGAGGCCGCTGCAGATTTAGATGTATTGGTTCCTATTCTATTTTTGATGCTCTACACGATGGCATTTTGCTCTATCTCCATGCGTCGCTCTCGGTAACATAAACCAAAACTGTTGACTGCGATCACGAGTAGGCCTATAACCAAAGGACAAGAAATAATGGGCAACTTCAACTGAACTTCACAGTTACTTGACTTAACTACGGAAATATACCAATAGAATAAACTAATAGATACTAAGCTGGGAAACAACCCATTTTCTGCTTTATTTAATGACACCTTTTTAATGTTTAGAAGCGCTTTAATGTTTTATTTTGTTTCTATAAATAATTTTCTTTGACGAACATTTTTGCTTTTTTTAAGGACGATTTTCCATGTTTAACAGGAACATATGTTTCATTAATTCCCGAAAGGTGACAAGATGAAAGGTATCTCTGCATCTAGGCCTCCATATACGGTTGAAATCACTGTGAAATACGTATTATATTATGATGAAAACATATGTGTATTCAATTATGGTAGAAATACCCACAATGCACAAACTAATTTTATTGAGAACTGTATCAACATGGTAGAGTGTTTTACTATTCATATTAAATTAATTATTACAAATTATTTGCATTAGTCTATCGAGTAAGAGAATTAGCTATCAGTTTGTCCTATTTAGATATACGCATTTCCTTATAGAAAGAGAGAGAGTGTGAGTGAAAGAGTAAAAATGAATGAAAGTGTGAATATCTATCTATCTAAATAAATATATTTATACACACACACACATATATAAATATATATATATATATATATATATATATATATATATATATATATATATATATATGTATATATGTATATATATATATATATATAAAGTGAATATCGTTCTGTTTATCTACTATATTATTCTATCTATTTATAGAAAGAGATTGAGAGACTGAGAGTGTGAATATCTATCTGTGTGTGTGTGAGAGAGAGAGAGAGTGTGTGAGTGAGAGAGAGAGAGAGTGTGTGTGTATGTGTGTGTGTGTGTGTGTGTGAGATTTCTCCCCCTCCCCCCTCTCTCTCTCTCTCTCCCTCTCTCCTTCTCCCTCTCTCCTTCTCCCTCTCTCTCTCTCTCCTTCTCCCTCTCTCTCTCTCTCTCCCTCTCCCTTTCCCTCTCTCCTTTCTCTCCCCCCCCCCTTCCCCCTCACTCTCACCCTCTCTCCCTCCCTCCTTCCTCTCTCCCTCTCCCTCCCTCTCCCTTCTCTCTCTCCCTCCCTCCCTCCCTCCCTCCCTCTCTCCCTCCCTCCCTCCTTCCTCTCTCCCTCCCTCCTTCTCTCTTTCTCTCCTCTCCCTCTCTCCTTTCTCTCTCTTTCCCTCTCTCCCTCCTTCCTCTCTCCCTCTCTCACTCCCTCCTCTCTCCCACCCTCCTTCTCTCTCCCTCTCCCTTTCCCTCTCACTCCCCTTCCCCCCCCTCTCTCTCTCTCTCCCTCTCTCCCTCCCTCCTTCCTCTCTCCCTCTCTCCCTCCCTCCTCTCTCCCTCCCTCCTTCTCTCTCCCTCCCTCCCTCCCTCCTTCT